CAAATGTCGACAGCGAAGTTCTTGAGCACAACCTTGCCCTGCTTGGTGTGTGTGACCTCGGGGTGGAATTGGATACCGTAGTACTTGTTCGTCTTGTGCGCAATGCCCGCGAACGGCGCATTGGTGGTTGTCGCGACCGTCATGAAGTCCTGAGGCATGTTGCTCAGCTTGTCGCCGTGGCTCATCCAGACCTCCAGGTCGTTGCCCAAGTCCTTGAACAGCTGGTCCATGTGTCCGCCGTGGCTCTCAACCTTCAAGTTGGCGTGACCGTATTCCCTCTTCTCGCCAGCTACTACGCCGGCGTTCTTTCCGAAGTGCCATGCCATCTCCTGCAGTCCGTAGCAGATTCCGAGGATCGGTACGCCGAGATCGAAGACGGCGTGGTCGACGTGTGGAGCGCCTTCCTCGTAGACGGAGTATGGGCCACCAGAGAGAATGACTCCCTTGGGGGTGAAGGGCAGATCGGCGATCTTGGTAGTGCATGGCAGCATCTCACAGTAGACATTGAATTCGCGGAGACGGCGAGTGATCAGATGCGTGTACTGCGAGCCGAAGTCGAGCACCAGGATGGTGTCGAACGTCTTGTGGGGAGGGATCGGATCGGAGTTGTCGGTCGCCATCTTGAAGTACTAAGAGTGTGATGAAAGTGAAAAAGAGAGGGGATAGAAGGAAAGAAAGAAGAAGAAAGGAAAGGGACGGGTATATGAAAGCAGAAGGTACGAGGGGCTCGGTCACTGACTCTCACAAAGTTTTGGCGGGGTTTTCCAGAAAAATTCTTATCGATAACAGAAAAATGCTATCTCGTGCTTCATCGTCCATGGTAACGCGCAGGCAGCACAGACTGCCGCCTGGGCTCATATATCACTCTGATGCATACATTACCGAGAAATCGCGAGAAGAGGTCATACGAGCCGCATTGTAGACGTCTAGCTTAAAATTTCCCCGCATGAGGTACAACTCAGGTGACGCAAGCATCCTTGTATAACCACCCTACGCGTATCGAAGAAGTGTCCATTAGTCGATCATCGCATGGGCCGTAGTAGGAGTGCATGACAGCCTTTGAAGCGGAATGGCTCTGTGGCTGACCGTGCTTGTCCTGGGCCCCGCCCAAAAATTCATTCCATTATCGATAACGACGTAGTTGGATCGCGCAAAGTCGCGTCTATCCAGTGACCTCACCCACCCAGCTCCCTACCAATCGCATACCCACACAATGGCGAAACGCAAGTCAGAGAGAGATCCCGAAGAGCTGCCCGATGCATCGGACAAGCGCAAGCAGAACGATGACGACGAGTCCGGCAGCGACGAGGTATGCGCCTTCCTCACAACCTTGCATAATGCGCCGTCTCACAAAATTGCTAGGACATGGACATGGTTAACGTCGACTTCGAATGGTTCGATCCGCAGCCCGCAGTCGATTTCCACGGGCTCAAGAACCTCTTGCGCCAACTTCTAGACGTGGATTCGCAATTGTTCAATCTGTCTGAACTCGCCGACATTATACTGTCGCAACCGCTACTTGGCAGTACGGTCAAGGTTGACGGCAATGAGACAGATCCATATGCCTTCCTTACTGTGTTGAATCTGGAGACACATAAGGTACTATATCTTTATTCAAAAGCTTAGGACATGCGCATACTAACAGCAGCCAGGACAAGAAAGTGATCCAAGACCTGACAACCTACCTCTCCAAAAAGTCCGCGCCGATCCCCACTCTCCCGCCCCTCCTGACATCGTCGTCGCCTGCGCAGATCGGCCTCATTCTGACCGAGCGCTTCATAAACATGCCGCACGAAATCGTCCCACCAATGTACACGATGCTTCTGGAAGAGATACAATGGGCGGTTGAGGAGAAGGAGCCTTACACATTCACCCACTACCTCGTCTTGTCGAAATGCTACTCGGAGATACAGAGTCAATTGCCGAGCGAAGATGCGCCACCGAGCAAGAAGAAGAACAAGAAGGCCGATGTGGGTGAAGAGACATTTTATTTCCATCCCGAGGACGAGGTGCTGCACAAGCATGCGGTGGGATACACAAGCTTTGAGTATGACACACCCGTAGATGAGGGTGCGAGTGATAGCAAGAGGGCGTTCCAGGAGTTGGGTGTCAAGCCCAAGGGACACATGGTGCTGATCGAGGCGGACAAGTTCAAGGGTGCTGTGGAGGCTGTAAAGGCGTTTCTGAATGGACAGTAAATACACAATGCAAGATGAATTCACCAAGTAATACATCCAAAGAGACGACGAAGGTTGACTCTAACTGGTGTTACATTGCAAGGGACACAAGCCGAATCTATGTGAATCAAACCGTAGGAAATTGATGCTCGCTCCTATACACACAAGTCGACATCACCGTCGTCCACCTCCGCTCAAGAATTGCTCTGCTTAACCAATGACAACCTTGCCATCCTCGGGGAAGTCGTATGCGGGAATCTCCAGGTTGAGCGGGGCAGGTCCCTTTCTTATGCGGCCAGAGATATCGTAGTGGGATCCGTGGCAGGGGCAGAACCAGCCTCCAAAGTCACCGGCCTCACCGATGGGGACACATCCCAGATGGGTGCAGACACCTAGTGCTGTTAGTCCTGGTTCATGATAAGGATGTGTATGGTGACGTACCCAACATGATCAACCACTCAGGCTTCTGGACACGGTCGGAGTCGGGCTGGGGGTCACGGAGAGACTGCCACTTGGTGTCGTCGGCCTCCTTGATCTCGCCTTCGGTGCGGTGACGGATGAAGACGGGCTTGCCTCGCCACTTGATAATGACCTGCGCTTATCAGCTCCACTGTCCGGATATGTCATGTCGAATTGCGAAACGTACGTTCTTGCCCTCGGGGATAGCAGCGAGGTCGATTTCTACCTTGGCCTGGGCCAAAACATCGGCGGAGGCGGACATGTTGACGAGGAAGTCTGTTGGGCGGAGTCGTTAGCCGTCCGGTCTTCATCAATTCGCGATCCAAATCATCCCCAAAATAGCCAATTGCTCTTTCTCAGCTCCGAATATGCCATCTCCCTTGTTTCCAACGTTTTCCACCACTCCGTCGAGCTATCGCAATGTTGGAGACCTACCCTGTACAGTCGCCTTCGCGCCAAGCGCACTCAGCGCACCCATGGTTCCGACCATGAAGTACTGGAAGACCTTGGGGCCGGTCTCGCCTCCCTTATTCCTGTATGCGGCGAACGAGGGGATCTTGGTCGAGTCCGGGCTGCCCTTGAAGGGGCTGTCGAACGAGGAAGCCGAGGCGTTGCGGGTCTGCAGAGCGGTGCAGCCGGCCGCCCGAGCGACGGGCATCTGGTGAGCGGTCCATGAGCGTGCAATGGCACGGGTTGTGTTGGCGAGGGCGGGCATCGTGGACGCGGGTGGGCGGGGGTCGTGGTCGTTGATGGGGAGGAGCTTAGGTCGGGAATGTTGAAGTTTTGGCGGTTTGGCAAGGAGCGTTATGTCAGGTGTCGTGTGATTGGCCCATCGCCCTTCCGCGCGACCTTCACCAGATTTGAGCTTCATCGGCGAGCATTACCATAGCACCGCACAGTGGCAGAGTCGATCTCGTACTCATCTTATTAATCAAAATCCTAACATGCTGGAATTCAATACGTGAATTTCTGCTGCACAGCGAACAAAAGCGACATTTTAACGTCCATCTCGTAAGCCCGCGTTGTCCATATTTTGGTATCGAACCATCCAGTCTTCCTTCCTCGTTCAGCCAAATGATGCACGATAGTAGTCAAGACGGCAAGCGCTCTGGGTAAGCACCCTTGTTTGAATGTCTTGGCGACTGCCTGATTCCATGTGTGCCGCACGCAGCGTATCTCTCTTCGGACACGCGAAAGTCGTCTGGGAACAGTTGCTCCTCTCTCACTTCATTGTTGAATCCACTTTGTATCACTACAAGTGACCTCTCAAGAACAATAAAACACACATCATGCCCCCCAAAGACTCTACCATCACATCCTACTTTGGCCCTAAGATGGAATCTCGCGCCCCAACAAAAGCCAAGGAAGCCACCAAGAGGACGACTGGAAAAGCGACCATGACACCATCGCCTGAGCCACAAGATAAAAGCAAAGGCAAGAGGGCGCTATCAGGATCTCCGGCACCAATACCTGAGAAGCGACGAGACATAAAGCCGGCAGCCAAGCCCACAACATCGCGCCATCTCTCACACAAAGAGGTCCCCTCGAACAAGCTCTCCCCATCCCCAAGCTCGTCTGATCTACCTACCCTGACTCTCACTTACCACGCTGGCGACATCTTCGACGCACCCCCACAAACCCTTCTAATCCACGCCTGTAACACTCAAGGTGTATGGGGATCAGGCATAGCCAAAGCCTTCAAAGACGACTATCCAAAAGCTCATGTCATCTACCGAGATTTCTGCACCAAAGAACACCTACTCAAATCCAGACCGGTACCCACCGGCACCGCCTTGCTTATCCCACCTGTGGATGTCGGGAAGCGGCATTGGATCGGGTGTCTGTTCACTAGTGCAAAGTATGGCAAGGGTAAGGATAAGTCGGATGTTATTGTCGAGAACACGAAGCCCGCTATGGAAATGCTGTTTGAGCTGGTGAAACTGGCGGGTAGGGTTGAGACGGTCAGGATGTGCAAGATCAACAGTGGGGCATTCGGGGTGAAATGGGAGAGGACGGAAGGCGAGCTGGAAGGCATTGTAGTTAGGGAGGGGTGGATGGGGAGTGTGGAGGTTTGGGAACCGGAGATGGGTTAAAAGACTAAAGGGAGCACGAAGTATGTGCATGTGATGCAAATTGATCCGCGTCAAATGTCTACTCGAGGAAAGTTCAGTGTGGACAATCACTTGTACATTTGGCACTATCCTGGTTCAATCGCATACCTATAGGCAATGAAGCCGTGATGCGACCGACCTTCCAAACAGCTGAGCCCCATTCCCATGATATATCTAGCAAACGCCGTTATGCAATGCAAAATGAATCGGCTTCCGTACCGTTCTGTCTCTGCCTACAACATCAAGAGCCGATTCACTTTTGACCATTGATCGCAGTAAATCCACCTGTTGACCGCCTAGCCTCTGGGCTCTTGCTTGCACTCGCAGTGGGTTGGCGAGGGGGCCCGCGCATCTCCATCTCGATCTGCATCGCCGCTGCGTCCTCTTCTGGTTCGCTGTCCTCCACGCGCTCGACCTCTTGGTCGACATCCATGGCATCGGGCGTCTCGTCTGGTATGGCTGGTGTAGGCGAGATTGTCGAAGCGCCGTTGGTGGGTGTCTCTGTGTCCTTGTCCGCACCCTCTGCCGTCTTGGAAGCACCGTCCAGCGTCTTCTGTCCGTTGACCGCGCCATCCTTCTTCCCGTCCTTCTCCTTCTTCTTCGCGTCCTCCTTCTCCTTCTCATCCAACTTCTTCTTCACAGTGCCCCATGTACTTGTCCTGGGCGCAACATCAACCAAGAACTCGAGGTTGTCTGTCTTAGATATCGCGCTGCTCACGTCGCGGTATTGTATGTTGCGGCGCGGCTTACGCTCCGCTTTGACGACATTGTGTGTGGTGGTTGCGAGGTGCTGGATGAACATTTCTGTGGCCAGTGCGATGGCGAAGGCGGCATTTTTGGAGGTCGTGATGCGTTCGGGGTCCGCTTGGATTATCTTTTGCACGCGTGCGACTGTGGAGTGAGTTAGCTTGATTGTCTGCTGCGAGGAAAGACGAGAGTACTGGGGACGTGGGGAATTGAATACATTGCGCTCAACGCAAGCGGAGCCGAACCAGTCGGTCGTTATGAGGCCACCACAGGCGCAAGTCGCAGCAGTACTACACCGTGGTAGGGTGGTCTCTAAGAGGCACGCAAAGGGTCGGAGTGACGACGAAGGTGGTGGAGAGAAGTGAAGATGTGTAAATTGTTACTTACGAGGAAGCGACACATGGCCGGTGATTTCCTTATTTGGCGCAATCGGAGTGTTGTTGTAGGGCATGGTGAAGGAAGAAGTTGTTGGTCTGGTGAAATGGGCGCTGGATCGATGAGTCCTCCCAGCGTGCTGTTCGAGGCTAGTTGCGTGTCCAAAATATGAATAGCCAAGTATATCTGTGGGTAGTGCGAGTTGACACGTTCCAGTCGCGAAAGTTGGCCAAGAGAGGTGTCTAGTCGCGTGCAGTAGTCGTGTTGAAGATGTCGTGTACCCTGGTCGATGCAGGGCGATCGCCGCGGGCTGCTCCAGCCGAGGAGGGCGTCATTAGGCTGCTCCTCTTCGTCAGCAACCAGCCATCTTATCTTCCTGCTGCCTGCGTGATCCTCAGACGATAAATACGTGTGCGTGATATCTTCGTCCTGTCTTGACTCCATCAATTGTATTCCCGTGTTTTCATCTCGTGTCGAGCACCAATTGTCAGCCCATCAGGGTACACCTGCCAACCATGAAGCTCTTCATTACTAGTCTGCTCGCCGCGACTGCAACAGCGTCCTTGTTCTCCCAAATCCCGTTCCAGGAGAAACCAGAAGTGGAAGGCTTCCAGGTCTACCAAAGTCCATTCTCCGAGCACCATTCAATTCGCATAAAGCATCAACAGAGCGACACCATCTGTGACGCGCGCTCCAAGCAACACACCGGCTGGTTAGACATCGGCTCAAAGCACATCTTCTTCTGGTACTTCGAATCACAGGACAAACCCTCCGAAGATCCGCTCCTGCTATGGCTAACAGGAGGACCGGGTGGCTCAGGCATGCTTGGGCTGATGGGCGAACTGGGACCTTGCACGATCAATGAGTTTGGGAACGGTACCGTACACAACGAATACGGATGGAGCAAGAATGCCAACATCATCTTTGTTGATCAGCCCGCTGGTGTGGGTTTCAGCTACGTCGATGAGGGCATCCCGCTTCCTGCGACAAGCTTCACGGCTGCTGAGGACATGCATCACTTCTTGCAGCTGTTCACGAGCGAGGTCTTCCCGGATCTTTTGAATCGCGACTTTCATATCACAGGAGAAAGTTATGCTGTAAGCACATGTTGCTAACCCCGCAAGACACTCACTAATCGAAGATAGGGCCACTACGTTCCAACACTCGGCGCAGAAATTGTCACGAAGAACCTTGAATATCCTAAGCGTCCGCAAGTCAATCTCAAGTCGACCTTCACGGGCAACGCTTTTGTCTCACCTCGGGACACCAACTTTGGTTTCTGGGAAACGCTGTGCACTACGAACCCCGGTGTGGAGACTCCCGTATTCAACCAGACCCGTTGCGACATCATAGCTACCAACCTCCCTCGCTGTATGGCACTTATCGACGTGTGCTACAAGAACCCTGATCCAGCCATCTGTCTCGCAGCTGACAACGTATGCATGGAAGGCGTTGTGCTCCTTTACGATGGAGAGTCTGGAGCAGGAGGTCGCAACCGATTTGATATCACGGACGGGTGCGAGACGAAAGACGAGTTCTGCTACCCAGAGATCCAAAGGATTCAAGACTACATGAACGTGCCGAAGGTCTGGGAAGCGCTTGGCGTACCCAAAGCTATAGCCAACTATACAGGGTTCTCTTTTGATATTGCGTTGGCTTTTGAGCTTACTGGGGATCTGGTATTCAGCATGCAGCCTCAGGTTTTGTATCTTCTCGAGCATGGCATCGACGTGCTCTTCTACCAGGGTAATTTGGACCTTGCTTGCAACACCGCAGGGAACTTGCAGTGGGCTAGCACCATGCAGTGGAAAGGCCAACCTGCATTTGTCGCACAGCCAAAGAGGTCCTGGGAACATGAGGGCAAGGAGGTGGGGTGGTTTAAAGAAGTCAAGACCGTGACTACAAGCGGTAGAGATACCACATTTGCGTTCGCTACGGTGAATGGAGCAGGCCATCTGGTACCGATGGACAAGCCGAAGGAAGCGCTGGCGCTTGTTGATAGATGGATCACAAAGAGGAGCTACGCGTAATTGTCGCGTGATGGATACATATTGTGTTTTGCGCAAGGCCGCACTTAGCCCAGCAAAGGATTCCGCGATCGCAATATCTAGGCATGCAATTTTCGTCAGCCCCAGTACCACATCGGCTTCATGCATGTCATCAGGCTTCTTGCGTTTGGCGCCCGAAATATCCATGGGTTGGTGTTTGTTTTCCCCACCATGATGTAATTGCTACCAGCTACGTCATCATGGGTCCTAGCCTATGCGCAAACTTCAGACCCTTAATAAAGAGGGGAGAAGACACACTCATCCAACAACAAACACAATCAATTGCCACTTCTCACTTCAAACTACACTTTACAAACCTTCCACTTCTTCCCACTTCCACCAACACACACATACAACATGTCTGGAACTTCCAACGTCGGTAACAGTGCGGTCTACGAGGCCCAGGACCAGGTCACCAGGTCCAACGCCGAGATCGAGCAGGAGAAGAAGGAGGCCCGCTTCCACGAGGGCAAGGAGCACTCTCACAAGGCTCAGGACTCCAGTATGTTTCTCTCGGCCTCGCGTGTATGTTCCTCTGTCGACATGCCGCGTCATCAGCCATCTCTTTACAAGATCGTTCACTAACAATGACCCGCAGAGGACGAGCGATCCATCGCCAACAAGCTCGAGCGCGAGGAGAAGCGTGAGAAGGAGGGTGAGGAGAAGTCTCTCGAGGACCGCCAGCGCGAGCAAGATGCCACCCTTCCCGCACGCGCACACGGCAACGAGCCCTCCAAGGGAGCCAAGATCGACCAGGAGCTGAGGGAAGAGGACGAGGCTATGCTCAAGAAGAAGGGCGCCAACTAAAGTCGTTGTGATGAATGACGATTTCGATACCCCGCACACATACTCAGCGTGTTAGGAGTTGGAGGAGGAAAATAATGACTTGGATTGACGATAAAACGTCTCCATGAAGCCCGCCTGAGACATGGCAAAGGCATGAATCAAATAATTTCAACTGAACATGTATTGCCAACAGTGTGTGACTGTGAGAAGGTTGGAGCCAGGTCCTCGTGCCTTGACGCGAGAGTTCTCCACATTGTCGTGCTTACCCCTCGGTGCCTGACTCGTGCAGCCTCGGAGATAGGCCGATAGCGACCTCCTAACCGCTGCCTTCTGTCTCCAAATCCCCAATCGCCTCCCCCGCGTCCTGCAAACATCAGTTGCTGCATTACAAAGCATTGCGGTGTACATGCCTAATCTCTCGTCATCTCGCCAATTCCTCCGCACTGCTACTGCCTTCGCCAAAGCTCCCTTACGGCCCCGCCTCGCACCTACAAGCACCCAGCTATCGAACATCCTCCAACAACATACCGCAAACATGTCGACAAAGATGGCAGAGCGCCTAAAGGGCAAGACTATCGTCATCACCGGTGCTTCTTCTGGCATTGGCAAATCCACAGCAATCGAATTCGCCCGGACACAGCCCGACGACCTCAAGCTTATCCTCACTGCGCGGCGAGAAGACACATTGAAAGAGGTCGCTCAGGAAATTCAAGGCTTTGCAAAAGGCGTCAAGGTTCTACCAGTCAAACTTGACGTCAGCAAGCCGGACGAAGTCCAGAACTTTGTCGGAAATCTGCCACAAGATTACAAGGACATTGATGTGCTCGTCAACAACGCGTATGCCACCACCTCTTCAAATACCGCTTACTGTCTGCTAACAATGAATCTAGCGGCCTTGTAAAAGGTGTTGCGCAAGCTCCCGACATCTCACCCGCCGACATCGACACCATGTTCAGCACAAACGTGACCGGCCTAATCAACATGACGCAAGCCATCCTACCCATCTTCAAAGCGCGATCCACACCCTCCGGCGACATTATAAACATTGGTAGTATCGCAGGTCGCGAGCCCTACCAAGGCGGATCCATCTACTGCGCTACAAAGGCTGCTGTGCGCTCCTTCACAGATGCCATGCGCAAGGAGCTTATCGCTACACGGATACGCGTCATCGAGATTGATCCTGGACAAGTTGAGACAGAATTCAGTGTAGTCAGGTTTGGAGGCGACAAAGAGAAGGCGAAGAAGGTCTACGAGGGCGTTGAACCGCTGACACCGGAGGACATCGCGGAGGTTGTGGTATTCGCTGCGGGACGGAGGGAGAATGTGGTGTTGGCTGATAGTCTGATCTTCCCGAACCACCAGGTATGTACAACCGGAGGAACGAGACATAGTACACTAACGTTGTATAGGCGGCAGCGACAGTCATGCACCGGAAACCTACCGGTCAGTAGATGCGGCGATCGATGTGTACATAGCGACTACTTATCCGCAGTTCAGAGACGAAGCAAATATCCAGAATTCGACCTTCGTTATGAAAGACCTGTTTGCTGGCCACGACCTACCTCATGTTTCATGCTTGCGACTCCATCTCATCCCGTCTCCTCACAATGTCTCTCCCTTCTTAATTCTTGTCTCCACATTCACGCGGACTGTCTTCGAAACAGGTGAAAGAGGAAAATATAGCTTGGGCCCTGCCCCGCCGTTGCTGTGGTGAGCGCTGGCAAAAGAGAGACCCGCTTCTGGATAACTCAAACGCTCACACAGTTTTTGTACACACCGACCCCATTTGTACCCCACTATAGTGGTGAGCGACCACGCCTTTCGTCCCACATCATCTCGACACTCAACTCAAGTAGCTGGCCATCATGCAAGCCGCGCGCGTTTGAGCGCCAGGTTTTCTACCACCACGGACGGAAGCACAGCAGTCAACCGACAGACGACATGGCGCGACTACGAGTTCCCGCATCGCCAGTTGAAACTCGTCGCGCGAATTATGCCTATGAAGGAGCCGGAAACAAGACGCCCAGCCGACCTAATCATTCAGGCCCACAGCCTGAGATCAATGTAGCCTTCGATTCGTCTGCCAATGATCCCCCTGAACATCCCACTTCCTTTCCGCGCATTGTAAGGAGCTTCGCGTTAATGGACGTGAAGACAAAGCGAGATGTACAAGGTTACATTGTCGGACAGTACAAGGCCATTAAGCAAATGGGCCACGAGCACATCACCGCGACTGGCACCAAAACAGTCTTCTTCCTTGGTCAAGCACAACAAGAGGAAGAGTTCGACATATTAGACGAGGATATGAAGACCGACCTGGGCGAGTACATCAACGAGGATGAGGATGCGGATCGCTCATGGCGTGGGGTTTGCGACTTCATGCAGAAAATTCCGACCTCCAAGGCTGTGGCGCCGACAGAGTTCAAGGATAAGAACATTTTGGACACTGAGACACCTCATCAAGCCCGCTTGATGCGTGCCCAGAGTGCGCCCTCTCTGGCTCGATGTATCGCGAATGCTAGCTTTGACAGCGCCGGATCAGAGACAGACTCTGACTCAGAAGACGACGACATCGATCTTGAACTGAAAATCGAGAACGCACTCTCGTCCTTTGCTAAAAAGGTCGAGGAATTAGAGGATGTAGCAGGAGCGCTGTCAATCACGCCACCCGGCCGCACATATTCTGAAGCTCACCCATTTACACCATCGCCTCCCAAGGACATCGATATACCATACCCCTGTGGACCAAAGCACAACTCTCGACTTCGTCGTCATAGCGGTAACCGTTCACTCGCATCACTGATCGCTCACGTTGAGGATCACCGTACGCCTTGGTGCTCGTCACTTTCTGCTTCGCTTTCTTCGTGCCCACTACCTGCAGGTACCACCTACAGTGTTATCCGTAAGCCCTGCTACGACCCAAACTTTGAGGGTCACAGCCCTTGCGCCACGCATGATGAGGGAAGCTGCGGACTTTCAGCTGATGACGCTCTGGACATGCTACAAGAACGCTTTGGAATTGTACATTGCGCTACTGTTGGCACCGGCTTTGATTGTCGCGAATGGCTGGAATACAAGCTTGAGACCGGGTGCAGCATGGTACATGGCCCGTCGTTGCTACGATTTGGGACGAACTGTTATGGACCTGAAAAGCCCGGGCAGATCAAAGACGCGGGTGATAGCCCGTACGCTAATCAACCCGAAGCTACGGCTCGGATTCGCACTTCGTCTTCTAACGATACCCTGAATACCAAATCGTCCGTCCAAAATTCAGTGTTCTCAAAATGCACTTCGAGGACTTCCATTTCGTCTTACCGGACCAACCGTCCACAGTCTGCACGAACTGAACATTCTCGGCTTATGAGCGCACTTGGCCCAGACAACGATACTGGAAAGTGCGGACATGGCTATGAAATCTCTGCAAAGACAGGGTGCAATTCTTCTGTCGCAGGTATTGTTCCAAAAAGCGAACACTTTCAAGGTTGTGCAGGTGGCACTGTGCGGGGTGGGAAGGTTGCACTCGATCCACCTATCACCACTACCAAAGAATGGTCTAGTGGGCTGCAGACGTGGGAGGGTGAAAGCTGGCCCAACGCACCCGAGCGCATTGGAAACGACTTTGAAGACGCCCAGAACTCTATCACGAGGAATGAATCCGAGGACTGCGACGTAGAAGAGCTCTCACAGCTACGTGCGTCGCTGACGGAAACTACGGACAATGACGAACCCATGTGGCCTGAAGTCATCGCCAACCGCCCGTATACGGCTCCGCTTATGTACGAGGAAGCCGCCGATTTTATTGAACATGTCGCCACTAATCCGGATGTTGATTCCGAATGTTGGTCAGAACCCTTGGATGGTTGTGCGAAACCGCGTCGCAAGTGGACTAGCAAGATGAAGCATTGTCTCAAGAAAATACCCCAAAACACAAAGCAGGCTACCCACGACTATGTCAAAGCGACGAAACGATTCTCACGGACTGCTTGGCGCGTGTTGCCAGCTGCGCTGTCGAGCCGACATCCGTTCCAGAAGATCGACAGCATCCTCTAGATGGTCGGCTGGGGAACTGGATCTGCGTCGGAACTCTTTAGGTGATCCGACTGGTCTCACGGACCGTTCACGCTGCCTCCGCAATCCACCCAGAACGATGGTTCGGCGAGCGTTTGGGCCCACTTCAGACCGAACATATGTTGGGGACATGGTAGATGCGTTGGAATTGATTGGAAAGCCCCTGTGAAACGCTTTTCATTGGACGACACAGACATATTTTGTAGAGCATCTTTGCTTTTACTTGAATTCTCTTTTGGCGCGCTATGAAACCTCGATTCTAGATACCCACCTGCATGCATCAGTAGCATTTCCTGTATGAATATAAGCCCTGCCATGTGCCCTCATTGCACTTCAAGCATTTTGTGTGAATTCCAAAGTGTGGTCGTGAATGACTAAGTCCACGAGGAGTGAACCCTGGTTTGATCAAGGGTCATCCACTGTCGCGACGTCACCACACAACGCTCTCACTTGCCAAAATGTCTTCGGTTTCTCATTCTTTACACATTTCACTAATTAGCCCGCTCGTTGTTTCCCTCTTTACGAACGACTGCGCATCGACCACCACCGCGCACATTTCCAACGCCAAGACTGTGTAAGAAAGCGGACTCTCACCATCGCACACCCACGAACAAATTTGCAACTGTCTAGTTTACGTCACTCTTTCCATCACATTATCGCGTAGTTCCAAACGCACTGCGATCTCGCCGGCCATTACTGAACTCGATCCGACAACGACCCTTCGGTTACCACTTACGATCACCAAACCAAAACAGTCACACAAGCAATCATGGCTTCCGACACAGTCACTAGTGTCAACCAGAAATTCAACTGGGCCGACGACGACGAGGACGAATTTGACTTGGATAGCTGGAATGCTACCGTCGACACCTCCGCGCCCACTGCCGCCGAGCTAGGCCCTCTCCAAGTCGCTCCCACTGGAGATGACACGAAGGAAGGCGAAGTCTACACGCTATCCCGCATCTCCAACGAGCGCGCCTATTTGGATCCTCCCGCCATCCAGGAGTCGTCAGACGCGGAGCCTACCCCGGAGGCAGAGGCAGAGCCAGTTGTTGAGCCGCCAGCTGAGCACTGGCATATCGCCGTACTTGGCTGCAGTCCAGAACATCAGGTCATGTCTGCGCGGTACAATCTTATCACGCACGCTATTGGTCCTTCCTATGAAGGTAAAGAAGAGTCCGACGTCCCAGCCTATCCAGAATTGAGTGAGTACCCGGGCCACCGGTCTTACTATGCGAGAGGGTTCCGGGACTGGAAGATGAAACATAGAGGTTTCTCGTCTAGAAGGGTCTATCGTAACTCACCCTTGAACATCGTCACTTCCATCGACAATGCGCACGAGATCGATGACATTGCCGACCCCGAAGAAGGGGCGGTAGAAGACGCCGATCGCGAGATGAACGAGGAGATTGATCGCATGATTGATGATCAAATCACCAACCACATTGACCAGTTCCAGTGGTTCTCCAGGACAGAACTTGAGAACTTTTACCACCAGTTTAAGGCTCAGGAGCAGAAAGCCGAGACTGGAGACGACGCGTCAGATGATGATGATAGCGATTCGGACGACGGCTGGGATGAAGAGGCTTACGAGCCATACAACGGTCCTGTTCACAACGAAGAGATGTCGCCGACAACCACTGCATCAGTGGAGGACAACGAAACAACGTTCGCGATTACCCGCCCATCCGCCGACAAAGAAGAGGAGCTGGACTTCAACGACGTCGTATTTGGAGACGATGACGGGTGTGATCAGTCGCAGAGTCAGGATGAAACCGACTCTGAGCCCAGCGATGAGGGCTATGTTTCCTCTTCACCACCAGACACTCCCTTTTTCGAAAACTTCAATAACGCGGACAGCGTAGGGGCGCAAAACGCCTTCAATTCCATCAATGCACGACTAAGCTTGTCATCCAGGCGCCGTAAGACGATTTGTCGGACGGAATCCATGGACGCGCTCAACACATTTAGGCAAACTGCCAAGTTTGAGCAGCGTGTCGAGGACGCTTTTGACGACGATGAAGACGACGAGGACTTTGGAGATCAACAAGAAAACTTTGGCATCGATGATGAGCTGGATACATCATCGGATGTCATGGAGAACACAGAGTTTGTCCTCGTCATTACACCACCCAAGGATGAGCAAAGCACGCAAGAATATCTTTCCAGCCCTGCGACACCTTTATCTTCAATAAGAGCCACTGTATCCGATTCGACTGAAGAGGATGACCAAGTCGTTTCTGTCAGCGACGAATCACGCGGTACCCTCAATTCAGCCTTCACTTTCCCTAGCATACCCACTGGTGAAGCCTCACTCCCAAAGGAAGAGATTAGTACCGCAGACACGGTAATCGATACTTCCAAAACCTCCTCCCGGCGCTGGACCGATCCTCCAAAATACGACCCCACCCTTCCTTTAATGTCGCCGTTGTCCAGTCGTCGGCATACGAAGCATGCAAAGCATAGCTCTGTCTCACTGGACTATGTTGTCGGCGCCGTCTCAAAGAGCTGGCTCTACATGGGCCAAGTGCCCTGGACGCAGATTGGTATAATGGGCGCTGGAGTAGTCGCCGGTGGATTATTGAGCATGGCGGGGCGTACATGAGTGAGCCCGCTCTTCCTTTCTGTTTGTTCTTTTCCTTTCTCAAAATTTGGCTGCAAAGTTAGCGGAGGCGAAGTTATGCTGGCATTGCTGGTGGCGTTATATACCCGGTGTGCTGCTCACCCACACAAAATGTGTGTCTCAAAAAGTATAAAAGTTAAACATTAATCAAGAAACGTAATTCCTATAGTACGAATCCACCAAACCATGTGACCGCTCCGACGATATCACCATATGCAAGTACAGATGAGACAGTAAAAGTTCAACTCTCGAGGCACAATCAATATCTTCAACAAAGCGAATGTCATTTGAGAGCTGCTGTATCTACATCTGACTCACCGCCTTCAGAGCGACTACCAAGACATCTCAAGCATTACAAGCAAGCTTCCTCCTTGCTTAAACAGGATGAGCGACCTTGGCCGTCAACAGACCCCTAATGTTTCCAACAAAGAAGCTCAAAATGAAGCAAGCACCACCGAAAGCGATCGAGATCCAGTATGGCCACCTGTACGCCAATGCGAAAGCTTCTTGGGAAGCACGCAGGACAACGGGGAATGCATCTCTCTGTAGCACTTCCTGGTTGGTAGCAAAGATCTCCTTGACTTCCTCGAACCTAGCATTACCCATGAGGTTGGTAACGAGGGTGATGACGGCGATTCCGTCGGCCGACAGAGGGTTGATGATGGCGCCATACGCCAATGTCTTCTCCGCGACAATTTCAGTGAGGTGGATGGTGACCTTGCGGAAGAAGAGGTTGGAGTAGACTGCGAAACCAATCGCACCACCGAGGTAGCGGATACTGAGTGTAATGGCTGTAATGGTTGCGATTTGTTCGTCCGGACAGGCGATCTGCGCGATGATGGAGGAAGGAATAATGACCCCGCCAACTCCAATGGATGCTAGTGAGATGAGGGCGTACACTACGTTGAGGTTGTCGGGTGTCGCAATGCACATGGCCCCTGTGCCGGCTGTCATCATGGCCGTGAAGAAGATCATCAATTCGCGGATACGACCCTTGGTGGCGGGGATGAGGACGAGGCAGATGCATGCACCGCCGATGATGCCGAAGCCGATGGGAAGAGAGCGGATTCCGACGCCAACCGGATCGTCACCTAGACTCATGTCAGTATGGAAGTGGGGGAGAGATAGTCGTAGGGCATGCTTACCATAGACGTTGTAGATTTGAGTAGGCCAGAAGAGCAGCAAGACGAAGTAGTTACCACCACTGAGGAATGTGATAAGAAGGATAACTATCATGGTCTGTTTCGCTTTGTGGAAGATTGCCCTGGGAACCATGGGGTGTGGAGCATACACCTCCCATACGAAGAAGGCAATGATGAGTATGATACCGAGAACGAGAGGGACGATGTTGTGTGGGCTGCCCCATTCATACTGTAGAGTGTCAGCACTGCAATGTGACCTGCTTCGGATGGTATACTGACCTGTGATGCACCCCATTGTAGACCCATCATAAAGAGAGTGATACCACATGTGCTCAAGATGCCACCAATGTAATCGACCTGGCGGAGGACATGGCGGGCGGTATACTCTTCCGTCAAGCGCGACGGGTCCTTGTAGCAGAAGACACAGAGTACCAAACCGATGAAGTTCCATACACAAACCAAAATACCATTGTAGCGCCAGTTGCTCTGTTGAGCGATCAATTGAGCCCACAACACCGATGGGCAGAAGGGAAGGATGGTGATCACGACAAGACCGACGTACTTGCCGCGATCCTTGATGGGCACGATCTCTGCTGTACCGGCGAGTGCGATGAGCTCATTGAGACCGGCACCAATCCCCGAGAAGACCTGACCGGCTACGAGTCGTTAGGTTTGTCATGTTTCAAATAAGGTTGCGGTACTTACCGATAGCGATGTTCATGGTATGCGCAGTCACTGTGATGATCGGCCCGACTATGAGGCACAACTGACCCACAATAGCCACCTTCTGTCGCCCAAACAGGTCGGACAATGCGCCCACAAAAGGACAGAGAGCCGCATTGGGGATGAGGTATCCTATTATGAACCAGATGTATCGGTCAACCCCACCAACATCCTGATAGATGAGAGGAAGGACAGAGCCGAAGAGGAAGAGCGGGATTTGAGAGCCGATCCAGAGGAATGACATGCACAGAAGCGTCATGGCCAGCCTGGCGTTCATCTAGGGGTGAATTAGTATATGATCAAGCATTCAGGGTCTTACACTCACCTTCTCGTGGACTTCTGGAGCTCTGCTGGTAATGGGCGCCAACTGCTGCTTCTCGGGCTCGCTAGGCGGGGTGCGAGTAGCCACCATCTCGAGTTGGCTCTGGCCATTCTTGTCGACTTCGTAAGAGTGGTCTCCGGATCTCATCGTCTCATGCATCTTGACGGTGCAA